TGATTGCTCAGGAGTGCTTGTCAAGAGGCTGTCAGGAAAATCACCAAAGTACACACTGGAGCTCAGATCTTGGTACTTTTGATAGGACCTTTGATATGACCTTTGTCATTTTGAAATGAGAGACTTTGAAAATCTATCCCTTGTTCTCTGCAAAGTGGTAACTTCCCATGTGGTCTGTTATGTTTACAGCTATGTGTTTGGTGTTCCTGTGACCTCTTTTCACTCATTACCACTACACTTAATATCATGGCAAAAGAAGGGTAATGATTCTTTTTCTGAAATTGCAACTAAAATGTTACCATAGCAGAGGGTACATGTTGGCCAAGGTCTTTATTATGCAACTGTATGCAGATCTCTGTGAATTGCATCGTTCATCTAGTTCAGTGATGCAGTACCAAGGTCACTGGGCATTTTTAAGCTACTGATGAGACCATAAGTCTAATAAATGTGCATGGTAATCACAACAAACATATTGTCATTGTCACAGATGTTATTCTTTCAAAATCACTTGGCCAACACAACTAAAACACAGCCCTTGTGCATGCTCTGATCTCTCCTAAGAATGCACCATCAGGAACACTGAGGTGAGATTGTTTAAGCAGACAAGTCATGCCCTACAGCTAAAAAATCAGTATTTCTAACAGCACCACTGCAGTTTACTTTGAATAAAAATGCAAGAGGCTAAATGAACATGGAACCAGTGAAGGGCAAATTTCGACAAAGAGCAGATTTTGAAAAGAAACATATCCATTAGTAATGCTAAGAGAGGTAGAGATTAATTTCATATTAAAATGATCTAAGCAGGTTGACATTAGTGATCCAGTTTATTTTCATAGCCATTATGCTGCAGTAACCCACTAGCTGCTGATCCAGTAGCCTTTTGTTGTCTGTCAGAAAATACATTAACCACTAAATGCATCATGTCACTGTGAGCTTTGCCATTATGTGCAGTGATTCTCCATAAGCTTATCAGATGCTGCAACTGCTGATTTCTTTGAAAGGATATATATCATCTTCCAGACTGGGTCACTGGACTGCTAATGTTATGCCCTCAAAAATGGTGATGTACTTCCCAGAACTTGTTGCAACTGCAGTGTCTTGCAACCTATCATATATATGTATATTTTTATTGTTACATATGTGTATGTATATTATATATATGGGGTTTTTTTGGCAACAAGGCATAAACAAACCCAGAAAAGCCTGGCGACTAAATATGCTCCTGATAATAAGGGAGGCAAAAGAATTTTAAAACAAACACAATTCATTGAATTCTTGCTTCTCTTATACCCATTATTGATATAAATAAAGGCTAGTAATTCAATATTACTGCAAAACTCACTTAAGGTTGTTCCGTGGACAGAAAATGCCAACATGTGAAGACAGCTGTTTAGCAAGGAGCTGAAATAAAAGTGGAGGTGAGAGAGGTCTAAGTCAAGACAGAGCTGTCATGTCTCATTCTCAAATGACATAAACAGTGCAGTCATGAAATCAGTTTTGCTGCTTTTGTATATAAGCTTTCTGTGGCTTCCATGCTAAAAAAAGGAAAAATATTACCCTTTGTTAATGGAGCTATTTCACCAGGAATCACGGCATGTGTCCAATTCAATGTGTCAGCAGCTTTCAATCCTCAATTCAGTTTACCAACAGTTAAACTGTTCAAGGCCTGTATTATAACCCTTTAAAGATGACATGTGACAAGACGATTTTTGATAAATAGTAGAACCTTGATACTACAAATGTGGCCTTTGGCTTGCCAAAGATGCAACGTGACGTTTTGTCAGCAGCTGCTGTTCAGATAACCGTTATATCATCACTACATATTCTGACCCATGCTATAGTCTCCTTTCACTCAGGATATTTTCACTTTCATACTCTCCTGTATTTTGTTGCAATAGAACAGCAAAATGTTTAGACTACAGCAGAATGTTGCAAGCTGGTTTCTGAGGGTGACCTTGAGTGCATCTGGCACACAAGAAGTGCAGTGGAAGACCAGCAAGCAATTTGTCTTCTGTACCTCTCATACTGCCTGTGTCCAACACTGGTATCACCATTTGAAATAACAGAAAGGAACTAAATAAGTGCCCATTTTTGTGTGTGAATGTGAATTCATGTGCATGCTATGAAAATCAAGAAGCCAAAGACATATTGGAAACTTTCACCCTCCAAAACCATGTTTCTTCTTTTTTTCCCCCTTTTCCTTTGTAGCTTATGTTTAAGTCTTGTGATTTTTTTAACACTTTGGAGTGGGTAGCATGATTAAAAGTCAGGCTGTGACACATTAGTATTTTATAATCCTCCCTTTGGCAAGTTGAAAGTAATAGCTTGACAGGCTTGTATTTAAACCTTCATGAAATGATGAAAGGGAGTGGAATACAATGTTCCAGACAAGAGAAAAGACTGGAAAGCTAGGTGGTGTTGGGAAGGCCTGTCCAGAGAGGCAGAGAACCGGAGTATATTACCAAATATACATATTTTGAATTGATCTTAGGCAAAACCAACATTTATTTTTGAGGAAGTAACTTATAATAGTGACCATAATATTTTTAGATTCAGGAAACACACAGGAATAACAGGGCCAAAAGCATCATCATGGCCATTGCTGACCTTCATAAAGGAGAGCTATATAAAAATGAGTTATCTTGTTTAAAAGGTCAAAGAAGGATGGCTAAGAGATTTAAATCCTCACAGGCAGCATAGAGACCCCTGAAGAACACCATACTGGGAGCACAGCACCAGTGCATACTGGCTGCGGGAAATCCCTTGGGAACAGGTAAAAGGAAATCAGCATGGCTAAGCAGTAAAGCAAGGGAAGTTATTGAAATTAAGAAGTTAGCATTCAAAATGATGAAAATGCATCTCAAAGAAGAAAGAAAAAAATTATAAATTCTGAGACAATAAACATAAAACTAATATTTGCTTTGTAAACGTTCTGGCAAAATTTTAAGGTGTTCATTTTACCCATAAGTAATTTGACTTGTCTATGACATCAAAAGACAAATTGATGGCTTGATTCACTGGTTCCCCTGCCATTCATATCATGCAGATCAGGATAAAAATGAATATAAAGTGCTGCACAACAGAGCCCTTTTATACTTTTTTTAGGCAGTATGAATGATAATAGGAAGTGTAAGAAAAAAATGGATCTAAATGTTTCTAAACCATCTTTTCTGACTTCAGAAGTGCAACCATATGAATCTTTCCCTATTCAGACATGAGATGCCATTAGTGCATGGTAAATCAAACTGCCTGATTTTATAACCATACCCTGGAGTCACTTGACATGTTTATCTGTGCCTTATTAGTGGCAAATTTACTCCCTGATATGGCAGGGCCAAATGTATTGTGCTCACTAATGCCAATCTTACAAATTCACACACTCTCACTTCTATGCAGCTAGATCCTGCCTAGCTATAGCTGCAATTTGCTCCAGGGTCATGCTCCCAACTTTAGTTCTCTGTGCCTGTGTTCCTAGCATTGCAACAAAGAAATTGATAAACATAGCAAGTATTTTTCCATGAGTTGTGTTTTTTGAAGGAATTGGCTAATTACAAGTTACTTTTTGTTCACTTCTCTCGACCCCTAGTCTCAGCTAGTTCCACTGGAGTTCAGTAACATGAATTCCAGAATGGTTTGTACAAGAATTCTTAAAAAAACAAATATGCCAGAAATGGGAAATATTTTTATCAAAGGCTCCTTCAATTCAGAAACAGAAACATTAGCTTGAGGACAAACTGATCATCTGATTTACCTCTGACCTGAAAAGGATTAGGAACAAAATTCATCTTATGAGTTCTTGAGAAGTTTTGCCATACTAAGCTTCTGCATAAGTGCCTGCAGTAGCAGGACCCTCTCTCACAGAATCATTGGTCATCTGTCTAGAGAAAGAAATATTTTGTAAGCATTTCACCAAAGGGTTCAAAATACCAAATAAATTGGAGGATAATCAAGATCCTAAAAATATCCATCAAGAAGGAAGACACCCTAAAACACTGATGGAATAATCTGCTGCCATCTATTTCCTTCACATTTCACTTTATTTCATCTACTTCTTTTCCCTAGCCCTTTCTAAGCTACATTCATTGTCTTTACCACTGTGTACTGCATTTTTGTCTTGTTATGACTGCACACACATCTCCATTTCCTCTTGATGGCTTGTTACTTCTAATATTATATTTTGAAACTTCGTCTTGTGCATTCTGTGCTTCATTGCTATTATAAAAAATGTTAGGTTCCTGTAAAACTAAAAGCAGCAAATAGATTTTTTGGGGGGCAGATAAAATTGTGGAGATTTGTATTTTGCTTGCTCAAATACAGTTCTGCCTTTCAGGAGACATTTTTAGGAGTTGCCCTTGTTTTGTTTGGTGCTTTTCTGCAGTGACAGCAGGCAGTGGTTTAGTGGCAATTTTAAAATATAACATTACTGTACAAAATGTACAATAATGTTTTGGACAGCTACACCTCTTAGGAAAATCTAGATGACATTTCTAGTTTCCTCCCTCTGTTGTAGCAACTGCTCTGGGACAGTTCTTCAACATCACAAAGCAGGGTAACTCACACTTCTGTTAAAAAACCCCAAACCCCCACACATAAATTCTGGATATGAATTAGTAATCATATAAGATGGCAAGTTGGGTTTTTTGAAACAAATAAATTTGTATTTTCCTTTATTTACTAGGTCTATTAAATATTTACATTATTGCTTTCCAGTTACTCTCTAGTATATGTATTATATATTAAACACTCAGAACAGAATCTTTTTCAAAATTATCATTTATTTCATATTTTTTCACTTTTACTACCTTCTCAATACAAATGTTTTTCTTTAAGCTGGAAGACTTTCAAAACACCATTATTGAAGTAATCTACCTGTTAGCTTGATTTTTTATTTCATTATCAGCCATTAGGCAAAAAAAGGTAAATCCTATAATCTAATTTTGTTAATGGAACTTAATGCAGTGCTAAGTAATCTAAAAATAAGTAAATAACCCTTTGCCCCTCCAAGAACCATAAACAGACTGTAACAAGGCTACCAGAAAATACATCTCAGAAAACTGTTAGAAGTGCAAAAAGCCCATAAAGTAAAGCACATGGGTATGCAATAAGAAGCTGCTGTCCTTCCATTGCCAATGCAGAGGTAAAAATTTTGGAGGCTGACAAACTGCACCATCCAATAATAAACAGAGCTAACAAAGTTCCCAGGGTCCCCCTAGGAGAAAAAAAAAAAAAAAAAAAAAAAAAGTTAGTAAATGTAGCATCATATTTTATCAAATTCAAGTTCATGTCTGGCAGCTTGTTACTGATAAGGTAACAGTCACTGGAAGAACCAAGGAGTGACTGACATAATGAAAGTCAAGCCTGAGAAACAAATTAAAATAGTAACGGAAAACAAAAAGGCAATTTCTTCAGCACGGATAAAAGTAGCAGCTTCATCAGAAGTACTGTTAAAAGGACAATGCATTTCCAAATAAATTTGCTGGGGCTCTAACAGATGCAGCAGCTATTTTAATTTTTAAGTTAGAAAAGATCCTATTGCAGCCAAAAGCATCTTGTAGAAGTTGTTAGGATCTAAAATGACACTGCAGACCTACTCTTCCACCAGGCAGCCTGATGACCCGGAGGGTTTGCATTTTTGTAACACATGGCACAGGTTTTAAGTCTGCCTCAGACTCTAAGGAGAGGCAATAAGTCTCTTAAAGAATTGCACCTCAGCTGACTGGGCAGAAAGATGGTAACTGCCTCCCAGCAGAAAGCTCAACTGGTCTTTTAAAAAAAGGTGCACACTGAGTAGAAAGTAAGGGATGGGAAAAGAGCCTCTGAGGAAAAATATTTTGTTCATCATGGCATCCTTCTCTGCACACTGAAAGGATGGTGGCTTTCCACACTGCCCCTTGGTGACAGCTGGGCCCTTCTGAAGTTACATTCTGCCACCTCTCAAGTGCAGGGTAGCATGGAGAACTGATGATTATGGGGCTATGGTCCAAAGCCCACTGAAATATTCCTGCAGATTACAGAGAGCTCACTATTAAACCCTGTAGGAACAAAATCTTGCCAATAAGTAATGTTTCACATATGCTTTATTTGCACTCCGTATTTGCAGCCTGCTTCTGTAAAATGCATGAGATCAGGCGCGTAAAACGCTGCTGAATTACATAATGAGATTTGGCTGCGTTACACACTTTTGCTGTGTCAGGCTCAAGGACTTTGAGAATGAATGAATCTCTGCCGCTTGCTAAAGGACTTTCTGGTGTCCCACTCTTCCAAAGTATCAGCAAGACAGAACCAGAAGTGAGAAACAGACAACATATATTTACTTAGGCCAATTTATCAGAAATAATCTCCACTAATAGTATTATTGCAATTAAACCGTGATGAGTAAAGCTCTCCTTATTTAATTGACTTTGTTTACTTAATGCAATCCTGTAACATAGAACAGTTCATTTCTTAGCAATCCAGTCTCCAGACCAATAAGGTACTTGGTGTCAGCTCTTGGGACTTTGGGGGAGGAAAGAGAGAATTGATTTTAAGGTGACTCAGCACCTCATTGCAACTTCAACCCGTTAAAAATAAAACATTAAAGACTGTGTGATTTAAAATCTTCAGTTTATGTGTCCTTTAATCCTACAGAGTGGCGTTCAAGGAAATTACACTGGGCTCTCTGAACCAAGTTCCTGGACTCTGCTCCAAGTGGAGATGCTAAGATGCTCACCTAAATAGCCAGAAATTCAGAGCTGGTATGGATGGCTCTTTGAGCAGGTACCCATGCTGGCAGAGGGATGGGCTGCAGCAGGAACATATTGTGTGATGACAATTTTCAGCTAGTATAATGACTCTTTAGGGGGCTATCACAAGGTAGTAAAATTTAGAGCTGCAGCTGCTGTCTTGCACTGAAGTACAATGGCCTCTCATGGTTTGTTCCAGGACTGGCAGTGAACAGGATGGAAAGGTAACATAAAATCATATTGGAGCCAAGAGATACCTCTTAAAAATTCAATCCTTGGTCTAACTGCATGTTACTGCCAAAAGGAATAGTTTGGCTTTTCAGAGAGTTTGTGTCTGGCAATGTCCATGAGGGCCAAATCCTCAAGCGTGGGAGAAGGGCAGAAGACAGATGTCATGCTCACAGTGACCAAGAGGACTGGGGGTGTACTGGCATAAGACTGAGCTGGGGGGACAGACATGAGTGGACCCTGTCCACTTCTCTCTCTCACAACCTGCAGATGTGGTCACCAAATGGGTCCTTTGCATCTGCAGGTCTAACTTCTTTCTCCACTCAGATTAATTTCCTTCACCGTTTAGTTAAAGAAATGGCTTGACCACTCTTTTCAGGGATTTGATAGTAAAGAATTGTTGTTGTTTTTTTCCAGGAAAAAAGTCTGCTGATGTTTCTCCCAGAAAGATGGCCTAATCAACTTGGGCTCAGACATGATATCAGCATAGACGGGCACAAACAAATCTGGTTCCATGTAAGTTTGCATAAGATAACTGGTTTTCTCTTTGGTACAATTCAGTACCCAAAATATTAAAATGAAATAGCTAATCCTGAAAATTGAAAATGGTTGTATGTATCTTTGCAATAGATGTACGCAATATCTTACTTATATTTTCTGTGAAAACAAGCATCGAAGTTAGTCCTTTACAATTTGAAATAGACAGAAGTAACATTTTTACAAATATTTGAATGTATCATGAATGTATTGTTGTTTGCTATTTTAAATAAATTTCTAAATTAAAAATAATGAAATGCGTTTGGGATTTAAAAGTTACCATTTAACTTTAATAGCATGTTCGTAATAGTTAACCTTGGTACTTGCTGTGTTCAAGCAGTTTCATATGGCGGATGAGAAGGGACTGCAGAATCCTGTACACAGGCACTTAATGTTATCAATTCATTTCATAAATAAAAGGTTAATTTTGTAATGGCTATCGCAGTATAGTATTTATAGATTTTCAAAAGATATGCTTTCTGTAATTTAACAACATTTTACAAATGTGTGGCGTATGCTTGGGGATTCCTTGTACAGACAACAGTACCCTGCATAAATTAACAGCTGGGTTAGAGTTCGTTCCATCTGTCCTATGATTATGTATCTGCACCTTTTATTAGGGTATATTATTAAACAGGTTAATCAAAAAAATATGGGAAGTGTAGGAGAACACAGAAAAAACGACTTCTTCCGTGTCATTACTGTTCATCTCATCAAGGACAGCTCAGAAACACATTAATACGTGGATTATGGTCAGGTTAACCCATCATACCTCTGCAAAAACATGCAACAAGGATTGTGCCAAAATCTTCATCACACTATAAAATTTTCTTAAAAAATTATATTTACGTATATAAAATTGATGTTTTTCCAAAGGAAACAAACAGGGGCACAGTCCTTATTCATCAGCTGCCAGGTCCCGTATGTTACACATTGGAGAGTTAAAAATGTGAGTGAACAACAAAGGCTAAGGAGGGAAACCATTATTAATAACTTGTTAATGACAGATAAAAGTACTGCTCAAGGCCTTCAGGCAAGACCTGGAGCTTCCTTGTACTTTGCTGTATGTGAACAGAGAGGTAAACACAGTCTGTATCTCTAAAGACTTACCGAATGAGGAGGAAGGAGAGGCTTGCATACAAATTTCCTATTCATAGGCATATTACTGAACACCCACACACACACGCATAGATACATATGCCACCACACATTTGTTTTTTCAAAGTTTTCACTTATTTTCAGGTTTGCAATTATACCACAACTACACTCCAGGGTATACAACTCTACTACATCTTAAACACTTGTCTAATGCTCCAAATCATTAAGGGTTGCTTGATTATCTCATTCTGTCACACAGAAGTCGATCTACATAAGGATGGAAGCCTGATATTATGAAAAAAAAAAGGTACAGAAGAAACAACTATATAAAACCAAAGTCTGGCAGTTGCTCTTAAAATTGATCCCCGAGTTTGGCCACTGATGGCTCCACAAAACAGAAATTGCATCTGAGGCTGCTGCAAAAATCAAAGACACTGTCAATTCAAGTGGGAAACAGTGGAATTAAGGACTCATCTTAAAATGAATCTATATCACTACTCTCAAACACAGTCCAGTTTTGTCCATTTCCACCTACACACACAAACAAAATGGTGTTTTTCTTTAGAGTTTTGGAAGCCAAAATTCACTACCTAGCCATTTACAAAATGTTTTGCATAACACCAGCATTCTGACTTACTGTTCTCCATATGTTTCCTGCTGCCAGAGACTGGTACTTACTGTAGCGAGAAGATGACTGCAGAAGAGGACAGGATCACCATGGGCAGCAGGCAATAGCCCAAGACACTTGCAACACAGCCATGCGAGACTCCTGGGATGCTCATCAAGTTCAGTAGGGCATGTATAGCAAGGCACCCAATGGCACTCATGCCATACACATAGCCAAAATGAACTTTTCCTGCCTGGAACAAATATGAGTAAGCATGAAGCATCAGAAGTGAGCAAGTGATCGCAAAGTAGTGGGAGAAGACAGAAGGCAAGCATTAGGTTTGTTACTTTTTCTTGTTGACACTCTCTGCTTCGCCTACATCAGTTCAATTGTAAACCACAGATGATACTTTTGGATGATTTTTGCATAAAAAATTCCAAGGTACAATTGTGAGAACGTGCTTGTCACTAACTTAAAGTTATGAGGCTGATTCTCAGTTCTACTGTCATTGGGCTCTGAACAGGTCAGGAATTGGTTGGGGAGACTTGGGAAGGTCTAATTGGTAGAAAACTGAGAAGAATTTATGGAAAGCACATTTTAGTGCCAGGAAATATCTGTCCAATAGGCGTATATGGGGCTGTGGAAAAATGTCCTAACTAAAATGATGACCTGACTTATTTGATATGCTTCCCATTTTATTACAAACCCCAGCTTTAAGCAGATCTGCAAAAAACTAGTAAAACCTTGCTGAAAGTATGATAGTTTTCAGGGTGAATGTGTCAATTCTTCCCTTGACTACCATGGGAAAGACACATCTCTCTGGTTAGATCAATATAACAGTCATTTCAACATAAACCTGAGTAGTAACTGTCAGCTTGTGTTCTTTTTTTTTTTTTTTCCCAATGAATGAAAAAATCCCCAGGTGTTTTTTCTTCCAGGTTTTATCCTTTGTGTGAATTTAGTGCCTGTGAAAGGTACCAGCCTGTCAGCCTGGAGCCTGATGCTTTCTAATTTATACACAAAGCTAGTACAACAGGCAACAGTGGCCCCAGCACCACCGATTTCCTCATCTCCTGCCATCATTTTGAAAGATCACCTCCAGGCATGAGGGCATTGTTCACTCCCAAAAATGAACAGTCACAAAAGACTGTTAAACATTTTTTCTCTCTCTTTAAGCTTCTAACAAATGAAATACTGAATATCGACTATGCACATTTTCACATCTGTACATCAGAAATAAACATTTGTACATCAGAAATAAACAGTGATTGGGATGAAGATGGTTTTGTTTACTTTGTCTTGGAACGTTGTATCCTAATGAGAACATGCATTTGTGAAGAAGAAAGATCAAACCTGAGACTCAACCCTGAAGCCATGGAATAAACTCCTCAAATGAAGGGCCACAACGTATCACCTTCCTAACACACAGCAATATGTATATACATAGTTAAAACAGTTGTGTTTGTGCATACACACGCACACCCATATATGCACACATCATATATAGCATATGCTAAACTAATAAACTAATAAAACTAATAGAGAGTCTCAGTTTCCTAATAATTTTGTAGCTTATGGTTGGATTCTCTTATGATGGATAAGGTGAAAATACTATTGAAGCTATTTTCATGGTTTACAATACTTACAAGTATCTCCTTCATGATAGTTAAGGAGGACTGAGAAGACCTCTCACTTTACTTATCCATACAATTTAATAAAATCTGTGGGAAACGAACTTTGAGGACCCTCCTCTGCCCCCTCTTCCTGTATCCATTTGTGTGGAAACTGATCACGGGATACCAGCAGTATCTGAGCTGAACAGAGACAAAGCAATGCAGTTGAGAGAGCCTAATCTAGTGATGGCACAGCTTGAACGTCCTAATGTTGCAGGCTGGTGACAGCTCATCAGATCTAGTAGGGGAGCAGTGCACGCTTATGTGAAAGGCAGCCTCAGTTAATATGACCTGCCTCTACATCAGCTGCATGTTTTGCTGATCGAGGATCACTCAGACACCAGAGTGAAAAGAGTAGGCTTGTTTTACTGTTAATAATTAAAGGATATAACCAAGTAATACAGAAGATAAGCAATAACGAAAATACAGAGTGGTATACTTAATTATTACTACATACAGTTAATCATAGAAAATAAGAACAAGCAAGGTAACGCACCTAATCATTACTACACAATGGGGAGAACAGTGATTAAGAAAGATGCATCACCACTTGGATATGTTACCATCATCCAGATCCCCAGTGGCTGGGGGGCCCCAGTTGCAGCGAGGATTTGGAGTATTTTTCCCTGCAAGTAAGAAACCCTACGCAATGCATCCACCCGTAGGTGAGGCATCCAAAGACGTGGCAAGAGAGTCCAGCCTTACATACCAAAAATCAGCAAGTTAGAATCACTTGCACCTTTGTTTTGAGTGGAAACATCTGGTTTCATCCTCCTCTTGGATTCTACCCAAAGCTTGTCCAGGGCTCGGTGGGGGAGAACCAAGGGAGTTTCTAACAAGGCCAGACACTGAGTTCTGAGCCTTGAACAAGGCTAAACAAGGAAAGTTGGATACACATTCTCACAGCACTTCACCCTCACTACTGATTATATTCTGTCTAAGCTTCATCTTTCACTAGTGAAAGTACATATTTTGCTAATGATCAGATACTAATAATTAATGCTAATTGTAATACAGATTTTACTAATTAATAGATACTAATAATAGATAATGTTTAGTTGTGAGGTTCATCTAGAGGTCAACTTTGTTTCAGGGCCTATTATTCAGGCCCTAGCCCTACACACCATTATCCTGTTTTCAGCTTGACCTGACTCACTGCTGAGCTCTCCTCTGGTTTCAGTTGTCAAGGTAGGTCAGGTACAGCCAGGTTGTCCGTATCCTCACAATGTCCCAAGTGTTGGCCTTTCCCTTGCCCCATGTTCTGCCATAAGGGAATGATCTATTCCTGAAATAACAGCATAAGAAATCTTCCTATTTATGTACAAAGTCCTTTGCTAGAATTTGCATACTACTGGTATAAAATAATGAGGAAAAATTGTTTCTCCAAGTAAAACCAATGATAGCTAGAGATGGTGTGGAAGAGCAACACCAGCTCAGATTATTGTCAATTACAATTTCAGTCATTAAAGTTTTGTAGTAAGTTTAACATCTGCAACAATTTGGTCAGTTTTACTATCGACAACCTAAGAAAAGCTCTGTCTCAAACAGATGCAACAACCACTACAGACTGTTTCAGAGTATTTAATTATTTGACACAGCAATATTTAGCATCTTAGTTTAAGATTAAGAAATTACTGAGACAGAGATGATGGGAGCACTAACACTAGCACTAGCAGTTAACTCAAGTCTCCACTTGGTGAAATGTTTGATTTGCAGTGCAGGGGAATGAGAGAGGGAAAAAAAAAAAAAAAAAAAAAAAAAAAAACTAGTCTTTCTTAACACATGTAAATATATTGAGTCATACACGCAGGAATACTCCCAATTCACAGTGATGAAAGTAAAACCAGAATCAAGCTTGATTAGTCTGGCAGGCTTTGATGAATGGAAAGAGCTAGATTTGTCCTGTGGAAGGAACAAGGTTAGAAGAATCAAACTCTGTGGGTTTGTTTGCATCTGCCTAGAGTGGGTACTACTATCCTTATTTTAAGTGGATGGGGAAGTCTGATTTTGTACGAATGACTATGTAATATGCAAAGCAGCTGAGATTTGGGCTTCTGCTACCTTTCACACTGCTGTTTCACTATCTTCAATGGAGTTGCCCTGTTTTACACCAGTATGAAGAAGATCAAGTCCTGCTGCCAGGCTAACAAACCTTTCCTCTCTTTCTCTGTCCTCTGAAAGAACTGCTACCATTTGATGAATATATTTGCATATTTTTCCATAGTTAAAAAGCTGAAACTAAATAAAATTTATAAATTATTTTTGGAAACAAGCTCTCAACCAAATTGTGTTCCTGGTGCTATTAGAAGAGAATTATTCAAGTACAGAAAGATATCATAGCTTACACAGCTGAAGAGTCACTTCAGTATTGAAATGCATCTGAGATAAAACATGCAGCCTGAATTTATAAGATGGCCCATGGAAATCCCATAGTCTTATTGCTGTGAAGTTGTGGCACAAAAACATTAGATTGTATTAGACGAGTTCTGCTGGCCTAAAACTGGAGCATTGAAACTAGTTGTTTTTCTAATGGTATGTAAAAAGTTTAATATCCCAGAATAAATATAATAATTAAAGTACTTTATTTCAATAATAGTAGTTTAATATTCCTTATAACTGTTGGCTATTCAGGGAGCAAAATCAATAACAACTCTTTTTGTCCTGTTCTTTCTTTTAGCTTTGCTTCTATTTTTTCTTGATTATATATTCAGAATTTTCTCCTTCTATTCCCCTCTTATCTTTATTTATCTAGGTGGAAAATAGCCTGTCTTCTCTAGCTTCCCACCTTCTTTTCCTTTTATTCCCTTTCCTCCTGCGTCTTCCACCTTTTTAAAAGATTTTTATTTTTATAGGGACATAAATAATAATAATAATACTTGTCATTTATATTGCAGCTTGCACATTCAAGGTACTGCACTGACATTACAAATTGAGTAAGAATTTGCAAGAGTCTTCTGATTCAGCACTATTTATCACAGAGGAAATGGAGAACTAGAGCCCCATTTCTCTCACCTCTTGCAGAACAGTAAAGCCCTTCCCAGAATGGTTCCACCTTATCCCTGTCTGATGAATCGCTGCCGACAATCATCGCTGTACTTCAGCAGCAGTGGTGAGCCCCTGTTGTCAGTGATAAATAGATGAATTTGGGAGTACTGTACAATCCCTGTTCAGCTTTCCTCCTGTAGAAAAGCTATATTAATAAAGAGGAAAGAGGTTGAGCACAGGCTACCATATTTTGCTTAGCAGATGATGTAGGAAAAGAATATAACCTAGGAAAGGACTAGCAAAATTTATAGGAAGGTATTGCAAATTTCAGGTGGGAAGGAAAAGTCTGTTTCCATTTTCTTTTTCACATTATTTTAGTTACATAATTTTTTAGATATCTCTGCATTATCCAAAATAACATTGAGGGAAGATAATTTCAAAACAGTAGTAAATGGTAGAAAAAACAGGCTGATCTGCTATGCCTTTTTATTCCCTCTTTTAAAACCTCCTTGTTAGGTCCTTAGCTAGCGCACACTGCTATGCTTCGGGTGTTCAGAGCCTCCCCAGGATATATTTATACTGTACAGATCTGTCCTTTGTTCATATAAAATCCCACTCCAAAAAATGGTGTGATCTTTTCTTTCCACTGCAAGGAATACATCACTTCACCTGTATTATATCTACATTACATTTAAACTTTATGCAGGTACTTTCAATGCAATAATCTCAGAACAAATGGCAGCAAATGACTCATTTTATGCCAGTACTACATCTTCTGCAACTTCACATGAATTATCACCTAGGCATTAACTTGTTAACAAAGAAATCTTTTAAGATTTCTGCCACAACCTACCAGCAGCAATGTTGCTCCAAGGGCCAAACAGAAAACCATAGGTCCGGTGAGGTCTGTCTCATTCATAATGCTGCCATCTGCAGGCTTCATTGGATTTAGAACTGTTAATGTTTTTTGCCATATATGCTCAAAATTGATCCCAAGTTCTGCAACGAGAAATTCCAGGATTGTTAATTACTCACAAGAACAAAATTAGATACCATAAAACCCCAAACAAGCAAACAAATTAGTTGTTTAGTGAAGATAATATTGTAGGATGATGTATTCCGTAGAAGCAACATGCTGTCCCTGCTATATACCCAGTAGATCTGAGAGTTAGCTCTGACGCTAAATTGGAATATTAATTTATTAAATCCCATTTTAGGCAGTGAACCAAAAAATGTCATCAGCATTTTTAAGTTAATATTTGTTTATTCTATATTTAAAACACGTATATCAAATGCCACACTAAGTTAGATGTTGAATAATATGCTAATTAACAGTAACTGCAGAATTCAAGATACTGTAGAACACTGAGGACAGAGACATATGCTTTAATTCTGGCAAATCTGACAAGAGATGTGTCTTAAGCCTGAACTTCCAGAGGCACTTAAAAATGACATTCCTCCCTTCAAGGCAAGTTAATAATACTTTCTACAGTGCTTTATAAGCTTTTCTTTTAGCATTTAAAAAGTAATTACAGAGGACCCCTAGAAACAGAACAAAGTCCTTTCCTGTTAAAGTTGATGGGAATTCTGCCATTAACTTTACTGGCATAAAGATTTCTCTTATAACTCCTGCAGAAAACCTTCAGCTTGCAAGCGTGAACATCTTCCTCAAGATGCTCCAGCAAGGGAAAAGTTAGGTTTAGAACTGGGTGCCAGAATTACTGAGACTGGCAATGTGTTAAATCTGCTTGGAAAGCTAAGTCTTTACCTTATTCCACCAATCTATCACCTCAAGCTGAGCCAAAATGTTATATAAATAAAGTTTTTCTGTATTAAAATGTGTGTGTCTTCGGTCAGATTTATGTGGTACACAGATAGGAGCATATCTGAAGCCCTGCAGATCAAAAGCAGTTGCATTTCAACATCCTTTTCACGGGGTGAGCTGCATGTGGAGTTAAATGCTTGGAGGTCTGAGAGGTAGAGATCTAGCAGTTATCTATATCAAACAGAGTGATCTTGCTGGTTTTAAAGCAGTAGTAGTATCTTTTAAGTAGTAAAAACTCCACTTGCCTTCCAGTATGCAAAAGCAGGCTAAATTTGCTCTTTTTACATTATGCTGAAATAATCACAAAGTCTCCATTTTTTTTTAATGTAGTACAAGTATTTTGTAGACTACGAAATCAGCCACTAGCATTAGGATGGTTCAATCATCATAAAGAATGATATTGTTTGTGTAGTTAAATGATCAACTAATTGAAGCTGAAAGCAGCTTTCTCAATTTCTTTCCCACTGAAACAAGCTATTTAGCATCTTCAAACTATTAAATTTATTACTAGATATGCAAAAAATGATTATTATCAGTATTTATTAATTATAGATGTTCCAATATGTATGCAGGATGGAGAAAAATATTTGGAGATGTGAATGCAATACTTACTGTCATGCTGTCATCTAGTGGTGGTAAAGTATATACTGTATGTGCTATAAGGGTGAATGAGTCCTTGGCAAATTCAAATAAGAAAATGTAGGTTTGGGGGCCAGGGGCTGTTGGCTCAAGCTTACACAGCCAGGCTTGGCAGCTCTGCTGCTGTTTCTCTAGTGACTACCACTAGCTGGCAAAGAAAAGTGTAGGCACCTCCAGGAACCACACACATCGTCCATGGTTTTATTTTCACCTTCTAGCAAAGGAGGTTCCTCGTCAAATCCATCAGCATAACTAAGATGAGAAAGAGTGTCAGGGCTGTACATTGGCTGCAAAATCTGGCCCGTGTAACTCTGAGGGAAGGGAAGCTTTTCTGATAGGGCAAAAGCACCAGTTGGAGGATTCTCTTCTGTCTGGATCCTAGTACAAGAAGAAAATCACAGCAAAATAAGTAACTGCAACGAGTGACTTCACATTAGCTTAGAGCTGCTCACCATGTACCACAGTTTAAATTTTTTGCCTATTTTCAATTTGGGGAACCTGGAAATTTTCTGGGCACAGTATCCACTGTGCGTAGTGAATACCAAGCTGCCGACCATGGCTTTGCTTCCCTTCACTGTAACCCCCTCTGAAACCAGGAAGGGCTCCTGCCAGCATGTTGCAAACCACTGCACCCACTTTTGTGCTCATCCAGCTCAGGCAATGGCACAGCACAGGCCTCCAGGATGGGAGTGAGGAGAAAGACAATTTAGGAGCTGTGAGGGAACCCACAAATTTAAGCACTGTGAGGGTACTCACAAGTTTAGGCATTCCTGACTCTTCTACTAAGCAGCCTGGTGACACTCCTGAGATATGTCCATACTGCTAATGGAAGAGCTATATATTTAGATTATTTTTTTTTCTTGAATCTAAGAAGGAGCTTAAAGAATTTCTAGCAATATGTACCCTAAAATCCACATTAATAACATGAAGTTCAGTTACTTCAATTAGGTAAAAAACCTGTAACATCTGTACATATAAAAGTAGCACAAAACCCAATCCTTTATAAAGAAAGATTCAATTATAAGTCATTCTGCCTTGGGAAAGTCTAGATGAAGCTCGCTCTTACTTCTGCAAGCCCCAAAGCCAACCAGATCCATCAGTTGCTGAACAGGGAAGCTGTAGCAACACCCAACCTCCTGCTGCAGCTGTGTCAAAAACTCCTGATGGGGAAACCACTCAGAACTTTGACCTCAGTGTCCTTCTTCCATGGGCAGAAGTCACCAATAGGTTTAAAAAATATAAGCAAAAGATGAAATAAGATTCTTCCTGTCTTTCTACTGTTATGGCTTGTAATTCCACTGTATTGATTATATAGCCCTTTTCTGGCAACTGCACTCTGGTTTTTGTCATTAGTTTCTTTTGAGCTTTGAGAGATATCTCTGCTCTCTCCTTTTTTTTTTTTTTAAGCATACTTACTTTCTGCTTCCACTGAGGTTTTCTTCCTGGTCATCTATGGTATAATTGGACTGGTAAAAGTCAAAGTGAAACTGCTCGAAATCTGACATTCTGGTTGGAAAAATAATTGCAAATATCAATAAAATAGCCTTTGCAACAAGCCAATATCTGTGTTTTGAATTGTTCTAAACTTAAATGAAAATAGAAAAGCCTAAAGCCACAAACTCAAGAGAATCTTTCTGTAGAAACTCATGATAATTTGGAAGTGACAAAAAAGGACTCTATATTATTCTTTCGTTGTAACATGAGAAATTAATCTTGTTACTGTTAATTTTTTTATATTAATTTACAAGTGGTATACAAGACTTTCTCTCTTGTTATTGTTACCAAAAATAACACAAGTAATTTTGAAAGAAGATATATATAATGTAAACTATTGTTTCAAATAATTCATTTTCCTACTTTAAAACAAAAACTTACGGCTATGTCTGAATGCTTAGAAATTAATGTTTTCAATAAATATTCTGGGTTTCAAAAAAAATACTTTTTCCATCTATTTATGTTTCGCAATGCTATATCTGACTATCAAAACAATAGAAAAATACAAATATATTCACTGAATTTGTTATTTCTGTTTAAGGATACTGTAGTTGGTATATTAGGAGTATCAGAGAAACATTCTCACTGGTTAGCTACATGCCTTTGAAAAGCATACGGAATGATTGAATAGTAAAGAAAACACATTAAAACACATCTTTCATCCTTGCTGACCCATAGTTCAGCTCTGTAGCTATAGACTGCTTAGACTAAGAAGGGAACAACTTGTCTGTTTTCCCTTCTACATTGTGACTAACTGTTTTTATAACTATGCGAATTTTGCAGACTGGGGCCATTTCATGTATCCTGTGTATAGGCAGGACTGGTTGTCTGGATCATATATAAGCAATATATAGAAATGAAGCACATCATTGGTCCTGTAACACATCATGTTCTTTTTGGCATTACAGACTGCTTCAAATTGCAAAGATATTTATAGATTTAGTCTAGGTGCTTGTGTTATTAGCATGGCTGACTATAAATCCATAAAACAGCTTCAAAACTGGCAGGTCCACCTCCCATGCCATGAGTAAAAGTATCCACAAGATTAAGGACTAATCCTGTTTCTCCTCGGTGTCACCTTTATGCTGAGTCACAGGGGGAAAAGATGTTATACCTCCTCGGAGCAGTGCATTGGTTCGGGGAGTCCCCCAACAACCAAGGAGTTGAGGCTGCAGGGTCCCTCTGGGGTTTGCCTGGTCCACCCCCCTGCCCAAAGCAGGATCACTGACACCAGGCTGCTTAGGCCCGTGTCCAATTGGACTTTGAAAAGTCTGGCTTTGCCATCTTTACCCTCTCCCATAGGCAGTTATATTCATTGATTAGATCCCCCTGATCCCTCTCTCCTCACAACTAAAGTTCCTCAGCAGTTTAGGCAAAGGTCAGAGCAGAATTTGCCGGTAAATGCATAGATGTATGCATGCGTTCCACCACCCAGCTAGTCAAACTCTTAAAACACACAGAGAAGTTGTATACTCTGATAACCATAACCATATCCAATTTACTTAGATTTTCATGTAACAAATTCATCTCTCTTAGCATTTCCAGTTTTCTTCACTTTTGCCCTCTTTTCCAACTTTCCAAAGGCTATTGGCAAAAAAATGCTTTTCCTCTCATGGTTACTCTCATAGGTATTTCTATATTTATCAAGCACATGCTGCTTATGTAAAAGATCTTTGCAATTATCTTTGTAAGGTAAAAGTTATAAATACTAGTATTTCATCAAGGAACTTGAAATGCTGCATATGAAAGTTTTGAATTTGTATCCCAAAATCAGACTAATATGTGGGCACCCAATTCCTTCATTTACCTAGAGTATTCAAAGTAGAAGTTATTCTTATATTAATTTTTAACTGCTGACCAATGGTGCAGGATTTCCAAATTTAGAATAGAAATAATTTTTACATTGTAAATACAAATTAATAGAAATTAATTGTTGTAAGCTATTTACTGTGGTTTTATTTGGAATTGCACACCAGTTATTCATTTGTTCAGTAAAGATTTTACATGGAATACGTTTTAAAATACTTTAGTTGGTACCTCTACCCCAATAGTTTAACTCCATTAAGTCTTTAATCTTCTTTGCTGTCACTATAAAGAATGAAGTAATTACTTAACCAGGTATGCTACAATCTGTATTACAGAGTTCTGAAAAGTTAAATTTATTTTTCAAAAGAATTTGGAGGTAAGGTTACTCACTTTTTAAGGTATTTGATGAAAACTCCAGTCAGTTGAATTTACGTGTTGGAAAACACCTAAAATATCCCCTTGCTTCAACAGCGATGAGCTTAGTGCTATTTATAAGATTCTAAATCTGATCTTTGAACAGATGCATATGCAGGAAAAAAACCCCACAACCTGTCAATATCATGGCCAGCATTTAACAAGAACAACAATAAGAAGAAACAGATAGGAATCTTCAAGTAAAGCAGAACAAAATGAACAAATACTGTTCCATATATTTCAACCCATTAATCTAGGTTGTAGTCTAGAGCTTCCTTCTTAAGCAGCTATTTATGAAGATCTTAGTGGGGCCCTCATGAGCTGAACTGTTAGATATTAAAAAGTTTTACAATGTGTTAAATATCTGTTAAACTAGTAGTGTAAATACATTGACTTGGGTGTCTGTTTCCAGCAGGTGCTCCCACAGCGTGCGCTACGGGACACACGCAGCCTTAGAGCCCTTCCTTGTGTCTGGTAGTAGGAGCTTCAGCTCGTGTGGCTCCTGGGGAGCAGGTGATGCTCCCGGAGGCTGTGGCAGTGGAGTGAGGGATGGAAAGGCACCATGGGGCCCAGCCTGTCCACTGGTCCAAGGCCAGGGCCTCGTTCCCCAGCACATCCCCTGCCCCACTGCTTCTCCAGGAGCTCTTGCCCATTTGCAAAGCAGGCTCTTGCAGTGCAGCACCCACCATGCCAGGATCAGGACAAGTCACTACTTAAAAGACAGGGAACCCTGCTCTGCTTTTGAAGGCCTTTATTGAATGTGTAGGCATCAGATTCATGGTTAATTTTTTTCACGCAGTGTTCAGTGTGATAGCCCCTTCATTACCTGAGCCATTATGAATAAAACATTAGAAACCTCTGTTCTATAGTCCTGGCTACTAGAAAACTTGTAGCACGGTATGGATTTTGAAACTGCATTTAAACTTCAAAGACAATTTTTCTATTTACACATGCTTTAGTATCAGACACTTAACCAGTGATAACAGATGCTGCCTTTTTCACTTATTTATTGGATAGCTTCCCAATGAGTGCCCAGGCTGGTTAATTTAAGGAATGGGACATTAAATGGGATGTATTATCAGGCCATTAATCTATGCCTCAGGTGCATAGTAAATTCTGTGAGGTTGAAGGCCAAATGACTTCCATTTCATTAGAATAATCATGCCTGGTTAGTACATGACCTACAATGCTATGAAAGAATTATAATATAGGTGCATATTTAAATAAGAAAAAATGAAGTATATAAAGTTTTCCCTCAGTATATATGTCCAAAAAAAAAGATGCCAGAAGTGAAGGATGATAACTAGAAAAAGCTAACATGAGCGTAATCAAACTATGGTATTTATTAGAGCTATTGCTAAGTCTCCCTTATGAACTTAAACTTCTCTCCTGGCATTTCCAGAGTAAGGGTTCATGCTGCTACACCCTTCAAGATGAATTCTCAGTTTCAATTCTTAGCAAACTGCTAATCTCTATGATTCTAATCGTCTCAGTTTAGATAATATGGTTTGATCTTGTTTATACCAAATCAGTGGGGACGATGATACAGGATTAATTTCTATCCTTCAGGAAGATAATTAAAAACTGTAGGGTTAGAAAAAACCTAATTTGCTATGGTTATGCCTGTTTATTTTAATTACAAAAAGACTTGGTTATTTTTGCTACTTTCTGTTCGAAAGAGTTATTTTTATATATATATATATATATATATATATACACACTGCATACAAATATGTACACATATATACATATATGCATACTGGCTGCCAGATAAGAACTGGGAATAATTATCAGACAAGTCACTTCAGAGAAATAATTTAAATAGAAAAAATTACAATGACTGATAGTGGGGAATGGTTGAAGAATATTTTAACAGTTTAAATAGTTTATTAATTTTTGTTTTAATTTTAGTTTAATTTTAAAAAATAAAAAGAAGAAAAGATTAAGTAGTTCATAGGAAAGTGACCAATAGCAACAAGAACTGTCCAAGTGTATTAGAAGCAGCCAGAATCATACCAGTACTGCCATTCTCTTATCAGATGAAAAAGTAGAGAGCAATAAACCAAAAAGACAGAAAAGTTTAATTAGAAATTCTCAAATCAACATTTTAAAATTCTACATCTAAAAGTTTTAGAAAATCTGGTCAAAAACTTTCTACATTGTTGTGAAACAACAGGAAAGTTTGAGAAGATCAAAATGAAGTAAATACACCATCTTGCAAAAGGCTAAATGAGATGCCCTGAGTAATTATTGGCCTGTCACCATGAGATTAATCCTAGCAAATTATGGGCTCAAATAATAAATAACTGAATCGATTCATCCAATCAACATGGGCTTTTGGAATCTAGCTCATTTCAAACTAATTTATTTTCTAACAAGATTTGTAGTTGGGAAAGGTAAACACTGATGACCTATATTTATACAAGGCATTTTACTTGATTTTGCTTCAATGAATATAGAACCATCACTGCTTAATGGGACAACCATTATACTGATTCAATAAGTGCTATCTCATGTGTCTCAAATGTAATTGTAAAAAGGGGACAGTTTCTAATGGTGCATCACAGGGTAGAAACTATACAAACCTCACACTTGGAGGAAAATCTACCAATTAGAGCCAGTCACAGGGTCATTTGACCAGAATCTGCTAGGGCAAAACAGACAGCAAATAATAAAAATTATTCTTGAACCTATTAGTCAATCGTAAAATAAAACTCAGAGTAGAACAGCTTGAAAATTTTCGAAGTGACAGCAGCAGCTGACCACAAGAGCAGTTTCTCAAAAGTTCTAGAAAGTTTCCTCTAACAGGACATCTAATGACCAGATGAGATATATTTTAGTTCAGGTAAGGGATTAATTCAGTAACACCCCATGACCTTCATTTATCCAGCACTACAAACTAGATAGCTGTCTTGGATCTGGCAGGGATGGAGTTAATTTTCCCCTTAGCAGTCCCCCACAGTGCTGTGAAGGGTGTTGATAACACACCAGGTTTTGGCTGCTGCTGAACAGTGCTCCCACAGCATCAAGGCTGTGTCTCCAACATCCCCCTCTCACTAGTAGGCTGGGGTGGGAAAGATCTTGGGAGGGGACACAGCCAGGAGAACTGACCCAAACTGACCAAAGGGATATTCCACACCGTATGACATCTGCTCAGCAATAAAAACTAAGAGAAAGGCGGAGGAGGGGAGGCAGGTGTTATGATGACGTTTGTCTTCCAGAGCAACCCCTACAGTGTACTGAAACCCTACTTCCCAGGAAGTGGCTGGACATCGCTTGCTGATGGGAAGTAGAGAATAATCCTTTGTTTTCCTTTGCTTCTGTGTGTGGCCTTTGCTTTTGCTTTATTAAATTGACTCATACGGGTTTTTTCCATCTTATTTTCTCCCCATCCAGTCCTACTGAGGAGGGCAGTGATAGAGCTGTTTGGTGGTCACCTAGTGCCCAGCCAGGGTCAACCCATCACAATAGCAGAGGTCCTTTCTAGTCTTACAGTCTACAAATAAGAATTTTTTTCACTCAGGGACATCTTTGAATGCCTAAATAAACCGTTCTGAGTTTAAAAAAAATCCACAAGGCTGAAAAGGATCAGAGAGGGACTAGGAAAAATGGATGTGTCCATGATCACAATAGCTATAGGAAATATTAAATGTTGAAGTTTGGTGTGAAAGGAGGACCCAGTCAATATTTACTGGTACAGGTTAGTAGACTAAGCAACGGGATGCCTTATCCGGGCATTTCTTCAGATACCTGACACACTAAATTAGAGAAGGCTGTCATGCACGTGTTGATATAAGGAAAAAAGAAATTGTTGCACCTCAAGGCTTTAGAACAGAATGTGAATATAACCTCACTTTTTTTGATTGACGGGTACATGGGACATTAATAATCTAGGAAAAAAATTGTTTGGATGACGTCTAATCAATAAAAATGAAAATAAGGTTTGAAGGTGATGAGTATAAGAAAGATGAACAGAGTTGTTAAAAAATATGAGAATTTCTACAAGAAATTAAAAACTTTTTATCTAAACTAAACCACTAGGGGTTTGTTTACCTACTTTTTCCATCTTTCCTGAAAAGTAGACAATGCAGGGAAAAGTAAAATATCATCAGTTTTCATAAATTTACATTTTCATTTGCATCTTTTTTTTGACAAAATGATGTAATAATTAAAATATTTTACAAATTTCTGGTAAATGTTTTTTGGTTGTTTGTTTTTTTTTGTGTGTGTGTGGTTTTTTTTAAATAGCACAAGATTAAATGGGATAGGATAGAAAAGACTACAAAATTGTGTCTAGAATCAGCTATGTAACCCTATATTAATCAAAGTAAACTGATGAGTATGGCAAATCATTATAATAATTAGTCATTTATTCTATAATTTTTTCAAATGTAAAAATTAATCACATTAAGGATTAATTCAATTAAGACTTAAGCATAACTAGTTACATATTCCAGCTGCATTAATGATTTTATAAGTGGGGCATTATTAAAATAAGTTGCTGAAGAGAGGAAAATTTAATTTCAAAAAAATATACATACACAATTTTTCTTTTTACCAATTTAATTATTTACATTATATGAAGTGTATACTGAATGAATTTTATTCATACAGGCCTCAGACACATCTACTGTAACATCCTAATTCTTTCCTAGGACAGGTCTTCAGAGGGTGGGTAAGAGGCAAAAAAAAAAAAAAAAAAAAAAAAAAAAAAAAAAGAAATCCAAAGCTATTAATGTTCTTTTTTTTATGTTGAACGGGTTTGTTAGACTTGAACAAACAGGTGAGAAGTTACAGGTTCCTGCGTAAGTGGTTTTACTTACCAATACCCACTAGCAGTCAAAAACACAATTCTGCTGCTACAATTTATTAGGAAAGGAAGAAACAGTAAAACAGAGAACATCATTATACCACTGTATAAATCTGTGATTCACTGACAACTTGAATACTGTTAGCAGTTCTAGCTCCCCTGCCTCATAAACTGTTTAGCAGAATG